TGTACTGGAGAACAGCTTGCGGCCTGGGATAGCTGTCTGAGAGAGGCTGATTAAGGCTCCAGTGTCATTCCTCTTAAAAGACACACACAGAGATTTGCTGAACAGTGAAGGAGAAGACCACCCACCCAACCCTAAATGACATGGTTTGAAGGACAAAGAGAGTTAGTTGCTGAAAAACGGTACGACTCACTTTCTTCAAGTCATGTAGGAAGGCATCAAATGGAACCCCTGGGATCTCCCTCTTGAACATACGCAGGCCTTTTATGTTGAGCTGCATTAATGGGACTGATTCGCTGTGAGTCATCCACCGAGCACAAGGAGTTTCATGTGCTTCTTAAAATACTCCGAAAGTCGCTGCTGGCATGCAGGCCGCTGCCCTGCGGTTAATGTATCTTTGTAAGATCTCTGCAAATACCTTTATTGGTGGAGCGCGGCTTCCGCAGATGGTGACCTCAAAGCAGTAACCCTGCCTCCAGAATCACCAGATGGTACTAAGGGATTGCACCATCGTGGTTGCGCTCACCGACCCTACAGCTGATCAGTTGATCCACCCTAGGAATGCTTGGCTGGCCATGCCTCATGTTGCAGAAGATCTGTGTCTAGGTCTGTGTGTGAATAAGAACACAGGGGGTTGGGTTTTTCTTGCTGAGAGGGCTGCAGCTGGCTGGAGTATCTCAAGCCTTTACATTCTGCCATTCACTGCCTTTCTCCTGCCGGCGACGCTGGTTTGCCTCCAGAAGATTTGATTCATAATGATTCAAGCTGCAAACCAAATCAACAGCAATTGCAGGATGACTCGCCTGTCCTGTTTGCATGGAGTGATTGCAGGTGAAATTGTATGGGATGGATGACTCCTACTGACCACGACCATTTTTAGTTAGTTAGGGTGGACTTAAAAATCGGTTTGTTTACAGCTCAGTTGGTAATGAAAATTGAACACCACGGCCTCTTTCTTGGTAGCCTGCGCTCGGTAGCCTCCAAGTGACCACACTGAGTCATTTCTGCAGTTTGCAAGTGAGCGAGGTGCTTTTCTTCTTGAAGGCTGTATTTGTTTCCTCCAAATATTAACACAGATACAAGAGAGCAAAACAGCAGTTATAAAGTTGATGTGGCATGTATTGGCAAGACTGTAATAGTGACTTAGGTATCTGGCTGCAGGTCAGGGGTTCAAATCTCCCCACTGTGCAGCCTGTGCATATAACTAGTTAGCCTGTGTGATCTTGGGCCAGCTGCAGAGTCCTAAGGTATCCCCCAAGAGAAGGGAATGATAAGCCACTTATGAGTATTTGCCATCACTCAGAAATGACTTGACAGTGCACGATGATTATTATTTAGTCATGTAGCCCTACAGATTATTCCATATAATGAGGGGACCATCCTGGAGAAGGGCTGTGCTTCTAAAGTTACAGTTCAGAGGGGGACCTGGAAAAGAAATCATCAGCCATTCCCTGGGGAGTTGGAACAAGGCCCGTTAGCACCTTCGTTGCACCAATAACGTATCAATACAGTGGTGCCTCGCTAGACGATGATAATCCATTCCACTGAAATCGCTGTTTAACGAAATCATTGTCTAGCTAAAAGCATTTCCCCATTGGAATGCATTGAAACCTGTTTGATGGGTTCCAATGGGGAAGAATCGTCGTTGTCTAGCGAAGGTCGGCCATAGGAAAGCCGCTTTGCGAACTGCTGATCGGCTGTTTAAATCGCTGTCTTGCAAAGCTTAGGTCCCGAAAACGCTTGTTTTGCAAGCACGGAGGAAGCTGTCAAAATCGTCATCTAGTGAAAATCGGTTTGCAAAGCAGGGACCAAACACTGTCCAGCGAAATTCCCCCATAGGAATCACTGTTTTGCGAATCGCTATAGCGATCGCAAAAAGTCAGTCTAGCAAAAAAACTAGGTAACTGTCTAGCGAGGCACCACTGTACATGTGTATCAGGCAAGGAAATTTTTTCTGGTGGCACTGTGTGTCTTCGTATTTTATTTTAGAACTTTAGAGCTACCTATCTCTGAAGCTTTGGCAATTTTTGCAAAAAAGGAGGGCTCTGAAAGAGAGGAATGTCTTCTCTTTGGCGTAAAAAGACTATGGTTTTATTCTGTAAGCAACACCTGCTTTTGCACCATGTTGTGCTGGGGAGTCCAGGGTTATGACATAGTTAGGTAGCATTTAGGTTGCGCTGTGCTTGCCATTCTTTTTATTGTTGTTTTTGTTGCCTGGTTTAAAAGTTCGAGCCTTTGCAAAGTCCACTGTGTCTGCAATATTCATTTGAATAGGTTAGCCCCATAGAATCAAAAGAGCGGTACGCTACTAGTTTCATTGTGGATTTCAAGCAGTCTAAAAGTACTTTGTGGATAGCTGGATAGTTTTGTGACTTAGACATCAGGTTGCAGAGACAGAGTTTTGGGCCTCTGATGTGCTTCCGAGGAGAAGAGCCAGCTATGTGACCTTAGGTGAGCAGCAAAGTCTCACGGTGCCCTAAGAAAAAGGTAGCGTTAAGCAACTTCTGAGTGCTGTCTACCTAGAAAATCCTGGAAAGGACTGCCATAAGCCAGATGTAATGAAGGAAGTATTGCACCTAGTTTATTTTAGATCAGGAGTAGGCATCAAGTGTGTGCTCGTCCAGATTGGTGCTGGACTTTGACCTCCATTGGCCCTAATCAGCATAGCCAATAATGAAGGATGATGGTGGCTGCAGTCCAACAGCATCTGGTCCTATGTTCCCCACCCTTCTTTTACAGTCTCCTTAACCCAATCTGCAAAATCTAGTAGCCTGGACTGGATCATTTTTACCTGCAGGTTTGGAGGTTCCTGTTGGATCTCTCTGCGTGAGTAAACTCCCTGCATGTAGAAAAGGAGCAGTTCAAAGAGACGTTTTCCCCACAACATGCTATCTCTTTTTGATATTCAGGGGGCTTTTCTCCTTGCAGAGAATTCAGACCTGTGAACACTTCCTTTGCCCCTGTCGCTTTAGCACTTGATTCTGCTGCTGCATTTCACTACTAATTACCCAAGATCTTTTGTTTGATTTCATGCATGGCTCATAGAAGTCATGGGTATTTGGCTGCAGTCAAGTTAGGCCCGTGATTTTGCTTTGTCCCATGAACAGAAGCCGAACCTGTTCCAGAGATGCACCAGACTCTGTTAACAAGTATATATAGCAGATAAATATATCCTTAACAGATGCTGTAGCATCAGAATCTGAATTCAATTAGTCTCCCAAGAAGGTTTAATACAACCTTGTTGAAGCCGTTTGGCCTACCAGGTTTAGGATCAACTACTGTACATGGGTTTCCCCTATGCAGTAGATTACGGACTGGCCATCATCCAACACATGGTCCCTTTCTTTATGTTAAAACAGATAGTTCCCTTTGTGAGCAGGAGTCATCTGCCTCTCATAGAGGATGGCCTAACGCAGCAAGGGTAGGACTGGATGGGTCCAATGCTGTCTTCCTTTTCCTGGTAGGATTTGGGCTCCGAGATCTGCACATCGTAAGTAGGTGTGCAGATCTTGGACATGTCGCACTGCACACAAGACACACCTTACACGGCACCTGCATTGAGCTAAATGCAGCCTACACAAAATGCAGAACGGAAAGAAAGAAAAAGCCAGCCAAATAAGATCTTTTAAAATTTAAACTGAAAAAGTCTGGGATTTAACCTGGGACTGTGCATGTATCCTGGGCAAACTGGCCCTGCAACCCCACCCCCACCCCACCCCATCCCCCAAGTCAGTTCAGTGAACGCTTTTTTAAAATCCATTTGTAATTCCCATCCATTTGAACAGAACAGGCATGTCCCCTCTCCCACCTCCCAGAAAAACCAAATTTTGCATGCCTTGAGATTCTTCAATCCTTCCTGGCAGCGTTACAATTCCGTTCCAAGTAACTTTATATGCATAAAACGTTATACTGTATGTATATACATATATAAAGAGAACGTGTGAGTATCGATATATAAATACAAATAAAGATATAAAGTGAAGGTATATGCATAAAATGTTTGGGCTATGTAATGTAATATAATATAACAATATTTTAAATAACATTGTAAGTCAGCCCTTGGTTTGGAGAACTTTTTCTTTTGGACCACCACTCTCAGAATCCCCAGCCAGTGGATTCTGGGTGTTATAGTCCCCAGGCGGCCCTCTCCCCAAGCGCCGGCTGCGCAGGGCTGCGGGCGCGGCGACAAAGGAGCGCTTTCTGCAGCAGCGGCGGCGGCGCCACCTTCGCGCGTCCCGCCTCCCCGGGCAACCCTCCTCCCCGGCATTCTCTCAGCCGCTTTCTGAATGAGCTCAGCGCCGCCAATGAGCGGTGGGCGGGCTCGGCGGGGCCCCGCCCACTTCCCCTTTTGCGTCACGGAGGAACTTTGCTGAGCTCCCGGGAGTTTGGCCGGAGCGCCGGCAGACGGGGAGCTGCGCCCGCGCGGAGAGGAGGCGG